CAAAACTATTCATAGAAACGTTAGAAAAAGAAAAGTCTTCTTTTAATCAAGTGAAATTATTCACGTAAGGATCTTAGATTTAATGTAAGGAAGGATGAAAATCTATTGGAACTGAACAATAATATTTAAATAAATAACAAACGAAAAAAATAATTATATTTCTATTAATAAATCTGCGTAAAAGTAATTTTTCACTGCTCAGATCAAGTTTTTTGTGTTTTCCCCTTTGTAAAGACGTATATATTGAGGGAAGTTGCTCTTATTTTGTTGTTAAATAACATTTTGTCCAAGAAGATACACACTTTATTTAACATTATTTAAAGTTGCTTTAGATTGAGTAGATGAAGATGGAAGTTCTGTAGTTTATTGTAGTATTAATAGGTGGAAAAGTATATTAAAATATATTTCATTGAAAGTGCCCATGACCTAACTTCTTAGAAAATGTTATATCTCATTGTCTGGATTTTCTCATGTTTGTGTCCATGTTCCTTGGATCATTGTCATTTTCTTCTTTATTGCTGCCATTGTCATCAATATTTTGTACTATTTGAAATGGAATGTACATAAATCTGTAATTTCATTATATAAATGCTTCATTTACCTGGCTGGTTTCTATTTCTTTCCAATATTGTAGGTTAGTGAAGCTAGAGCCCTGGATAGGGACTTGGTGGAGAGTGACCTTACATTTGCAGGTTTTGCGGTAATCAGGACTTCCTCTCTCTTGTTTCATTTTTAATATCTGATTTTAATCATTTGGAAAACCACTCGTTCTTTTGTCCACCCATAATTGATTCTCCATTCTTACGAAATATTCACCTTGCAATTAGAGCTATTTTTTCTGTTTCTCTTTCGTTTCTGTTTCTCTTTTGTTTAATGTTCATTAATTACATTCCAGGTGTTCAATTGTCCAATTCGAGCAGATTCGGCTACAATATTATCTGAGCTTAAAGTATCATCCCATGACTTGGTACAGTTTATCCAGCCTAATTATTTCCACTTAATTGTGACTAATAGAAAATACTTGTTGGTTTACTATATCAGTGAGGTTTAAGAGCATCATTATCAATTTCTTAAGGAACTAATATTCTTTCCATTATTCATTTTATGCGTCTATGATGAGAGGCTGTAGAATGAATTAATCAGTACCAATGGATTTGTTCTGTTGTGAAACTGCATATGTTCTTTAGTTTATGCATTCCGAAGTGAAAGACTTTTATTCTTCGAAAATCAGATTTTCTGGATTAAGCATCTAACTGGATGAACAAGACATTACGAGAACTATAACTTTTGGAAATATACTCAATTATTAGTTCTTATATTCTCAATAGAATCTGAATGTCAACCCACGGTAATTAATGACAGAGCTATTCTAAGTATAATCTTTAATTGTTCTGATAATACAAAGATTCAACTCAAATGTGGAAGTCCACGTCTATTGAATTTTTAATATCATCTGGATTTTAACCATGGCGGTAAGAATTTTCTTTGATCACTGAAACCCTTAATCTTTCGATCTCCTTTGTATATCATGTAACTGCAAACTCGATTGATTTATCAAGGCAGTCTTGTAGGCCTCGTTATGTCTTATAGGATTCTGCCATCTGCTTAGTAATTTTTTCTTATATTTGCAACCTACCTATCATTCTTTATGGATGTCGGTCACTATACATTTATGTAATTTTGTTCTTGGTCTTATTGTTTTAGATTAGAGTCTTTTTCTTAACAAGAATGGACTCCTCTTTTTTCGGACCTATTGGACCTATTTCTTTCCATATACCCTTGTATTCCTTCATCTTCTCCATAAAAATTTGGTTTCTTACAAATATATAATAAGTCCAACTTTTCTAAGTTGAAAATAAATGTTTTGAAATGGTTCGATCTCTTTCTGTATCACTCTGAAGCAAGTTTCTTGAGTGAAATACATGCTTTTCTGTTATATCAGGTAATGATTACTGGTGACCAAGCTTTAACAGCGTGCCACGTAGCTAGCCAAGTTCATATTACCTCAAAGCAGATTTTAATTCTCAATTCAAAGAAGGGAACTGAGGAATATGAATGGCTCTCCCCAGATGAGTTACAGACAGTTCCCTACAGGTGAATTTTATGAGTATTTAAGGTCCTCACTTTGGTTCTATTTTTTCCCCATGCTTCTCAACCGTGCTGATTTACATCTTTTTCCCACATATGTTAGTGTTTACATTTACATGATTTCTTTATCCTCAGAGAGAAAGAGGTGGGAGATTTATCGGAGATGTATGATCTGTGTATTGGAGGTGACTGCATCGAAATGCTACAACGCACCTTCACTGTGCTGGATGTTATTCCATACGTTAAGGTTCTCGATCTCTCTTTTGTAAGAATATTGTTCCTTGCAATGATGCCAACTTGATGCCGTATATCTGAACTGGTCTATCAGGTTTTTGCAAGAGTTGCTCCTGAGCAGAAAGAACTCATATTGACCACTTTTAAAACAGTAGGAAGAATGACGTTGATGTGTGGGGATGGAACGAACGATGTCGGTGCTTTGAAACAGGTTTTGTCTTAAGATGTTTATCGACTTACCTTTTAGGGCGTTAACAATTTTAATGTGGAGCAGCAGATAGATTTTGTTCTAGAACATTTAACTTGGATGTTTGAGATGAATTTCTATTCTCTATAGCACTTGTAATTCCCTTCCTTGTTTATCAGGCCCATGTAGGAATTGCTCTCCTGAACGCTGTCCCTCCTCCTCAAAGTGGCAACTCTTCTTCAGAAGCATCTAAAGATGACGCTGCTCGGTCTGCAAAGTCGAAGAAATCTAAGCTTTCATCCGAATCATCAGGAAAACCACTTCTAGCTGGAGAAGGTTCTTCAAAAAGCAAAGGTAGTGCAAAACTGGATTCTGCTACTGAGCAAGCTAGTAACCGTGCACGGACACCTGCCGAGATGCAAAGACAGAAGCTAAAGAAACTTATGGATGAGTTAAATGAAGAGGGTGATGGGCGCTCCGCCCCTATTGTCAAGCTTGGAGATGCATCCATGGCATCACCATTCACAGCAAAGCATGCTTCTGTTGCCCCGACTACGGACATTATTCGCCAAGGTCGAAGTACTCTGGTGACAACTCTCCAGATGTTCAAAATACTCGGTCTCAACTGCCTCGCTACCGCCTATGTACTCAGTGTTATGTATTTGGACGGTGTAAAGCTTGGCGATGTTCAAGCGACCATCAGTGGAGTATTCACAGCAGCCTTCTTTCTGTTCATCTCACATGCGCGCCCCCTTCCAACACTTTCAGCTGAACGCCCCCATCCACACATCTTTTGTTCTTATGTTCTCCTTTCTCTGTTAGGCCAATTTGCTATCCACTTATTTTTCTTGATGTCTTCAGTGAAAGAAGCCGAAAAGCACATGCCTGATGAATGTATAGAGCCAGATTCAGATTTTCATCCCAACTTGGTTAACACAGTTTCATACATGGTAAGCATGATGCTTCAGGTGGCAACCTTTTCTGTAAACTACATGGGTCATCCCTTCAACCAGAGCGTATCCGAAAACAAGCCATTCTTATACGCTCTTTTGGCTGCGGTTGGTTTCTTCACCGTTATTACCTCGGATTTGTTCAGAGATCTCAACGACTTGCTGAAACTGGTTCCACTGCCTGCGGGATTGAGGGATAAGCTTCTAGCTTGGGCACTTCTTATGTTCTTGTGCTGTTACTCCTGGGAAAGACTATTGAGATGGATGTTCCCAGGTAAAATCCCGGCATGGCGAAAGCGACAACGACTGGCAGCTGCTAATCTGGAGAAGAAGAAACAGCTGTGAGTGAATTTCTTTTTTGTTTGGAATCAGTAGAATGGGATTGAGGCCATGTATTGTAGGAATAGAAAGGAAGGATATGATGATTTATATTTGCCACTGAGGCCTTACTAAGTGGTGGAATTTTGTCAAAATTACTTCAAAAATTTAGGAGTAGAGTTGCTGTTTATGGGTAGTTTTTAAACTGACAACTTTTTGTTGGATGATGTTTTTTTTTTAATTTTTTTTTTATTATTTTTTTTCAAATTCAAACGATGTATAAATGACACAATTAGTGATCGTTGCTTTATCCTAATCTAATCAAAGCTCATACCGTGTTTGATGCTACATTATGTTATTGTTATGTGCATTGTTTGTATGTTGAATGAAAATTGTTGAATTTTCATAATATGCGTTTGAGAACTTAGTATACTATTTGTAACGGTTCAAGCCCACTGCTACTAAATATTATCTATTTTGGTTTGTTACGTCATCAGCCTCAGCCTCACGGTTTTAAAATGTGTCTGTTAGATAGATGTTTACATACTTGCTTTGTTCCACTTTCCAACCGATGAGATCTCACAATCCACCTCTCCTTGGGGATTCAACTTTCTCGCTAGCACACCATTCGGGGTCTGACTCTAGTGTCATTTGTAACGATCCAAGCCCACACTAGCAGATATTGTTTATTTTGGCCCGTTACATATCGTCGTTAATCTTGCAGTTTTAAAATGCTTCTGTTAAGTAGATGTTTTCACTCTTAAAAGAATGTTTTGTTCTTTTCTCCAACCAATGTGAGATCTTATGATACTTGAGTTTAGTTCATTTAGTTAAGAATTACAATCTTAACTAAAAAGTCGAGTGGATATTCTACTTTTCACATATGGTTGAAGTAGTACACATTCCCTATACGGTGCACAAAAATAATTTTGACAAAAACACGAAGATTATTCATTTCAAAACTCATAATTTGAAAAAAAAAAAAAGTTTTAATTTTGTTTCTCTCTAAATTTTATTAATTCATATCATTAGAAAATTAAAATTACTGGCACTTCTTAAACTTTAACATTGTAACATAAAATTAAAAATTTAAAAAATGAAAAGTGATTTAAGGGTCAAAATTTATTTATTTTTTAAAAAAACAAGTAATTATAAAGGAAATTAATTTACAAATAAAATATTAGCCCTAATTTATGAAATATTGGACTTCAATCCGAAAATATGAGATTGTTGTAATGTAACAAAATAGAAACCCTAATTTATGAATTGAGACTCGAGAGACCCGAAGTGCTATAAGGAACCAAATCTAACAAAGGTATAGTTCTGGTGAAAATGGCGAGGAGACGGGCTGCATCAATCTTTGTTCTTTAACATATTGGTCTCTCTTTTCTAAGTTTTTGAGCCAAAATCAACCGCGCTGATCTTCGCTCTCTCCCATTTAATTTGTCGCTCAACGAACTGGCAGCTGATCGTTAACTTGTTGCATAAGCTGTGGAAGAAGTTTGAATTATTGAAGAAATTTGTTTCGCCATTTTCCCCTTCATTTGTATCCTATTGGGTATTCTCTCTCAGCTCCTCACATTATTTCTTTGTTTTCTTGATGGAGTTTTGGTTATGGATTGCCAATAATGCACGTAACTTGTTCGGATTCATGGCTTCTTCCGTTTGTTACTCGCCTTTGATATTTGAAATGTTCGATAGAATGAATTATGTATTGCCTGATAACTGTTCGACAAAATGCCTCATAGAGGTTGAATCTGTATGTGTTCTTCCGTGATGAATTTAAGCCTTCTCCAATGTACTTGATGTTTATTTAGTAGTTTAAACTGAGATAGTTCATGTGACTTGGGAGATGTAAGATTTCGCCTCTTGTTATCTTTTAGGTGCTCAAAAGGGGGTTGGCTAGTAGGAGGAGAAGATGTTGAAACACTTGCTTGGAAATATGCGGAAGCATGTGGTTTGTTCATGTGAAGTAAACAGGGCCAGACCTTATTTGTTTGTGCCAACAAGTGACTTTCATAAGGGGGAGGTAAAAATTTCTTCCCTTAACTATCAATATTTTTAAAAATTTTTTCTATTAAGCAAAACCTCCAATATAAAATACTACACACAATACATCTTCACAATCACAATATTTCACTCTTTGCATAATTTACATAACGAGGTAACATCTCATACTAGAAAACAATATTGACTTTCACCCAATAGCAATTTACTGGAGTAGCATTTGTTGTCAAAGATCTTCTTCTAAAACCAAATTCCCTTTGGTATTTGACAGTGTTGATCCAAAGAACCCTAGCTTTTTCTTCGACACCATGACTGCTTAAGGAACTGTATATGTTACTTCTAGCTTTCACACTGAAACTAATAGCCTAATCTCTTACAGATAACTTAAGAGATACCTCCCAGAAGCTTTACATAGAAGCTGGGAGTTAATAGAATTTAGGATATTGATACATTAACATCCACTACGAGTTGGCCCAATAATCAGATGGTGAAGTTGCTATCTTAGATGTTGTATTGGCTAACACGGGCTTTAGTCTAGTCTTTTTCTGTTTTCTTGTTTTGGTTATTATTTTCTTGTTTTCGTGAGGAACAGGCTTGTTAGTCAGTTGTTGACTTGTGGCGGATACTCTTAGTCGTTTTTTATAGCTGTTATTGTAGTTAGTTAGATGGCTGGACATTTCTCTTATAAACTGGGGATCTTTCCAAACGTGCAAAACAAATTTCAGAAAACTAATGAAGATTTCTACCCCTTTGTTGCTGAATTACATCACATCTAATGAGGTGTCAACTTCAAACTAGGTAACTAGAATTATAAATATTCTACGAGTTTTCAATATCAACTGTTGAGGGCTTTTGTGAGATCCCACATCTGTTGGAGAGGGAACGAAACATTTTTTATATGGGTGTGGAAACCTCTCTTTAGCAGACGCGTTTTAAACTTTGATAGAAAGCCCGAAGGGAAAGTCCAAAGAGGACAATATATGCTAGTGGTGAGCATGGGACGTTACTAACTTCATAGTAATCCTTATATAAGTTTTGCCTTGGACACCAACAATGATAGAGAAAATCCCTATATCCTCTTATTGCCTACTCTTTTGACTTCTACATGATGTTATCCCAGAAGTTTTGATCACAGATAATTATCATTTGCATACTGCTTAAATCAATCCATCTCTTGCATTAGAAAAATTACTTGGCCAGATTTATAAACCTTTGATTACTCTATCACAGGCTCATTATGCACCCAGAAGTTTCTTTGGTGTGGAGGACTTTGTAGACGATGATAATAGTAGGCCATACACATACCAAAAGGGGAAGAAATCCAAAAATCCAAAAAAGCACGTATCATTCAAACAACGGACGGTAGCCTACATGGAGCCATTTACACTCGACGTGTTCATCTCGAAGCGGTTTGTTTCAGCATCGCTCACGCACAGGGTGACTTGTAAACAAGTTGCGGTTGCAGGTACGAACTCGAAAGATATCAAAGCTGTTCTTAAGTCTCGTTCGGACATACCTGCTTGTTTGGCTGTAGGCCGTATTTTATCTGAGAGGGCTAAAGAAGCTGATGTTTATACTGCTAGTTATACTCCTAGAGAGAGGGATAAATTTGAAGGCAAAATAAGAGCTGTGGTTCAGTCTCTTATTGATAATGGGATTGATGTAAAAATCTATCTGGAGTAAACAACCAATTATCCTTTTGAAATAACACTTCTGGATTCTTCATTAATGGTTTTCTGAATCTTCTATTTAGGTGTGTTATTATATCAAGGTTTCGATTCGGTGTGGTTCGTAGTGTTTGTTTCTGACCATCCAAGGCGAATATTCGAATCCTAACGATGAAAACTTGATAACTGATAATCCTCGCTGCGAAACCTCTCTAGAGATTATTGAAGGTGGGATTTATGCGTTCGAAATTCTATTTTGGTTTCTATACTTTAGGGTTCATGTCATATTTTTAATCAATCTTAAATTTAGTAAATTATTTAATAATAATAATAATTTCATTAAATATTATGAAAGAAATATTATTGGGGACACTTTTTTAATAAATCAGCAACAAATTTATATACACTATATTTTAAGTTTTTATTAAATATTCTAAGATTAAAATTTGACACTTCAAATATAAAGACTAAAATAGGTTCACTAAAATGATATTTTAATCAACATTTTATAAATTTTTAAGAAAACAATTTGTAAATAAATTACTAAAATAAGGTAAAGGTAAAATATATTCAATTTTTTTATCTAATAAATTTCTAAATTTTATAATTTTGTATCGGTTAAATTTATGAATATGACTATTTAATGGATAAATTATTTTTTAATATTTTACAAAATTTTATTAATGACGTAATTGAATGTTAAACAAAATATTAAACATCAAGAGATATAGAGATATATTAGGTTTTTAAAAGTTGGAAGAATATAATAATTTAGGCACTCTTTTCTTTTCTCTGACAGATTTCGTTACATTGGAAAGCAATCGAGGGAACACGAAATCCCCATCTCTCTTGATCGTTCATCGTTTCCAGATTATCGGTTCTCTTCTCGGATCGCTCTCTATTTTCGTCGGCTTCCCAGGTACTCGCTAGCTTCTCTTATCTCTATCTGCGAGTTATTGTTGATCTTTGTTAGGTTGCCGAGAGAGAGAGAGAGAGAGAGAGAGAGAGTGGGGGTAATGAGATGGAGCTGGAGCTGGAATTGCCTGATGTTTGGTGTTTTCGTTGCGGGAAATGGGAGTTGTATGTTTGGTGTTTTTGGCTTGGTTCTTTGCACGTAACTTCTGGTTCAGAATTTAGGGTTTTGTAGTTGTATATATATTCATTTATGCCAGGGCTTTGTAATTTGGATTAGAGCAAGCTATCTGCTCGATAAGTTAGGTCAATTACTTGTAGTTACATATATATTGGGTTCATTTGGCTCGAGAAGAGTATTGCGTTTTTTTGGGTGTTTAGGGCATTAGATTCTAGGCGTGGAGCCTGGCGCAGTTGTTTGAAAATTTTTATTAGGTTTTTCCTCTTCTGATTGTCTTTATTCTTCATTTTAGCAATTGGAGTTCTTTTCTCTATTTGTAATTTTTATATTGTTTTGTTTTTTATGGTCTATTTTCCTCTAGAATGAAGCCTTCTTCCTTCATGTGTGAACATTTATCTGCTGTCTCCACTCTAAAGATATAGCATCCAAAACTTGTCTTCCTTTCATAGAAGTGGACTAGGAACCATCAATGGTGAAAGAAAGTACTTCTCTTAGTATTTCCACCGAAATATTCCATGATTTTTCTATTAAGAGACAAAAGAAAGCTCACCTTGACAGAGCGACTGTTGGAATCCAAATAAGTGCTAGTCTCGTTAGTTCTTTTATTAGGAACCCCCTCTTCGAAAATTTCTTGAAACACCTGAAGCAACCTTTTAGAATATATGTATAAAAGGCAAGGCGCTACTATGAGAATGAATTGGACTGAAGGTCGTTAAACCTGGAAATTTTAGGCATTTACACTACATTAGGCAAAAAAAAAAAAAAAAAAAAAAAAAAAAAAAAAAAAAAAAAAAAAAAAAAAAAA